CCCCAAAACCCCAAAACCCCAAAACCCCAAAACCCCAAACTCAGATCACACATTGATAATAATTTAATGAAATATTTGATTTTAATATTAATTGTAGTTTTGGTGTCAGGCCAGAAGGATGATTATTGGAATATGGATGTCCAACAAAGATCTGAGGACCTTGGATTTGGATATGAGGAGTACCAGGTTACCACAGATGATGGCTATATACTAACTCTTATGAGAATTCCATCAGGACCTCAAAGTCCACAGCAAGAAGGAAAACAACCTATACTTTTGGCTCACCCCTTGTTCGAAGCTGGTGAAGCTTTTACCAGACTTGGTTCAGTTTATTCTCCTGCTTTCTATCTTGCAGATGAAGGAAAGGATGTTTGGCTTTTCAATATGAGAGGAACAACATTTAGTCGACAACATGTAAACCTTGACCCATCTACAGATGATGAATACTGGGATTTTTACATGGACACAATAAGGTATGACTATATGGCATGAATTCAGTTCATCCTCGATAACACAGGTTTTTCTTCAATTCCAGTATTTGCGATGTCATTTGGAGGTGCTACCTTTGCTATTTCATTAGCTCTTGAGCCAGAATTCTTCTCTTCAAGAGTCTCCGTAGCCGTATTAGCTGCTCCAGCTCTCAACATGGGACACACTAATGCCCTCATCTATGCTTTGTTAGGAAATTTCCCTAATATTCTTGAAACATTAAGAAGTGGAGGAATGAATGTTTTCAGAGATGACAACCAAATGATGAGAAATCTCCTTTACACAGCCGCTCGTCTCTTTGGCCCGATAGTTCAAGGAATCGGAGGAACTGTATTGGGAGAAGGCGATCCATTTGCCTTAGACCCTGAAGGAATGAGCATCCTTCTGGCTCGATCCCAATATGGTGTTGGAATGAGAGCTTTGCAACACTTATTTCAAAGTGTCAGGTTAAATGATCTAACTTACTTCGATTATGGACCTCGAGGAAACTTTGATGTTTATGGAACAGAGACTCCTCCTGAAATCCCGTTGGAAGATATTAATGTCCCTGTTGCTCTAATGTTTGGCGAATTTGATAACGTCGTTCCTGAGGAGGATCAACAATGGATTAGAGAAAGAATGGGTGACAATATTATATTCGATCAAGTTTATGAAGGGTAAGTAAAGATGGTTTTTTTTAAATTATTTCCTTTGAAAAATCTTTGTTAATTAAATATGTGCTAACAATCTTAATCACTGATAGATTTTCTCACTTGTCATTCTTAATTGGAGATAACATCGAAGTCTATTTGGAAGATTTAACTGATATCACTGAAGAATACCCGGCAGTCATTGGGGATGAAAATTAATTAATGTCCCATTTTTGGTGCCACTTTTAAATTTCAACTATCGGAATTATCAAGGGGTTTTGGGGTTTTGGGGTTTTGGGGTTTTGGGG